TATATATATATATATATATATATATATATATATATATATATATATATATATATATATATATATATATATATGAATTCTCTCATTGTTTGTGTATCATTGTATGTACTACGTAGTCTAGCTTAGGCGTGTAAATGAGTTGAACCGGCTCATGTGTTCGATGATGTGGCTCGAAAAAAGCTCGAACTCAAGCTTGAATTTTCAAGCTCGAGCTTTAGCTTTCTAACGAGTATGAATTTGAACTCATCTCTAGTTGTTCATAAGCTCATGAGCTGGCTCGCGAGTTTTTTATATATCTAAATGAGTTGAGCTCGAGTTCGAACTCATCAAAAGTTCGATGAGGTTGAGCTCGAGCTCGAGCTCGAAAAATCTGCCGAGCTCATCTTGAGCTCGACTCATTTATACCCCTAGCCTAGCTTATGTAAACTACATAAATTGATTTTTATCTTTATTTTCTTATTCTTAATTCGAAAAAAAAAAAAAATTCCCCAACTCTTGAGGGATTGAAGAAACAAGAAAAAATGGAATCTATCTCTAAAGCATGAATTGTTGTTATATAAAGATTCGCTTTCTTTGGGATTCTAATTAGAGAGAGGGATAAAAAAGAAGTTAGAAGAATTTGTTCTCTTCATAACTTTTTTGACAATTTAACCTTTTAAAGCTTAGGATTCCTTCATCGTTCATTCAATACCTATGTTTTTTCTATTCCCTTTTTCTTTTTCTTCTTTTTTTATTTTTATATTTTATTTTATTAATTATTATTATTATTTTATTTTTTATTTCTTTTGGTGGATGTCCTTAGAGCATCTCCCACCCTTAACACCATTTTTTCACCAAATCCTATTTTTGGTGGTGAAAAAATGGTGTTATCTCCCACCCGTAGCACACTATTCTATAATTTCTCTATTTTTAGTGACAAAATAGTGTATTTGGTCTCCCACCAATTCCATCAAATTTTACACCAAATAATAAAATATTAATATTTCACCATTTTACCATTTATAGAGAATATGATTTAGTTTGGTCTCCCATGACATTTCACCAAATATATTACAAAATTATAATGTTAATGTTAATTGTAAATTTAGTCTATTTTTTTACCAAAATATTGATTATGAATTTGATCTTAAACATTGATTTTATTAAGTATATAACTTAAAAATTATGATAAATATCAAAAATTTATTGAAACATGAATGAAAATCGACTTAGATTATTATACATATAATAAAACCATGAATTAAGCAATAATTTCACTAATTATTTCCTAAAAGCCTTACAGCATAAATTAATCATATAAACATTACAACATAAATTAATTATAAAAACATTACAACATTTTTTTTGGCCAAAAAAATTATTTCATTGATGACAGGGGCCTCGTTAAAACCTTGATTGTCCTTACAAGGAAAGAGCACCTTTTATTAGCAGATGAGTCTCATTCACCATTATTATCGTCATCATCTTCAACATCATCTATTTGATCACGTTTATCCCACAACTGTGCTACCAGTCTTCTCCTTATATAGTTCATTATGCTCTCGTCGATTGATCAGATTTTGATGTTGATTAAGAAAATTAACATATTTTGTATTATCTAAATCTCTTGAAAGCTTAGCAGGCGGGACAGTGGATAAACTTTCATAGTCAAGGTTGCCGTGTAGATACCCACCACGTTCTTCTTCATGTAAGTCTTCTTTCTTCCAAAATCGAGCTGCTCCTCTAATAATTGCAAACCAAGCTTGAAGAACTCCAAATGCCCGTTCTACATCTTTGCGATATGATTCATGTTTCTGTACGAAATATTTTTCTTTGGCGCATTTGGGTTCACTAATGGCTAATGACTTGTACTAAAGCTGACCATTTAGGATAAATACCGTCAGCTAAATAATAGCCGACATTATAATTCCTACATTTGATTGAATAATTAACTGACATAGATGTACCATGGGTCAGTGCTTGAAATAAAGTTGATTTTTGTAAGACATTAACATCGTTATTTGTAAAACTAATTCACTAATTAAAACTAATATATTTACTATAAATATGTTTATAAGTTGGTAATCCCATGAAATTAGTTAATATAATAATTTTATATGCTAATTATAAAATGGTGTTAATTACACCAAATCCTATTTTCACTTCTATATTTGATAGAAAAAATAGGATTTGGTGAAAAAAAATGGTAAAATGGTGGATGGGTGGGAGATGAAAATTTCTTCACCAAAAAAATTGCTGAAAATATAGGATTTAGGGATATAGTGATATAGAGTTTGACCATGGTGGGAGACTAAACTAAATTACTATAATTTTAGGTGTAATGGTGATTTAGAAATTTAGGTTGGGAGACTAAAAACACCTAAATTAGGTGATAATTATAGGATTTGGTGATGGGTGGGAGATGCTCTTACAATTCCTACTACGCACTATAAACTAGCTGAAAATAAGAAATTAGAACAGTAATGTTATATTCCTTCATATATTATTGAATGTATTTCTATATGGTTTACCAAAAATATTCACTAATTAACGAACAAAAATCAACAAGAAATTGGAAGTCGAATTTCTGTTTGAGTTTATTTGGAGTTGTCTGTTTGTTGCACGATGCATAGTTTTTTGCAGTCGTTATACAAGTTCGGCTCATTTATGGTGGATCTATAAGTGACATCGGCTGGTTTGGTGAGGCAAACGGACTCTTTCGATTTTCTCATGCTTTCTGTTATCATTCTCATTCTTTTGTCTTCTCGTTAGTTTGGGGTTCCTAGCTATCTTGCACGTACTATTCTATTTTCATAAGTTTTTTTTCTAGTTTTTTCGAAATTTTGAAATTTATATTTTTAGCCATTTTTCGGACTGTAGCCTATTGTCGGAATTTTTTTTTTATATACTCATTGATTTTTTATCTGGTTGATCGTTCTTAATTGAAGGTCCCCCAACTCCCCACCCTCATCGGATGATCGTTCTTATTAAAATAAATTAAGAAAAAAAATAGTGAGAAAAATGAACATAGATATAGTTTAAACATATGTAATATGTTAATATGTGACTTATAAAAATGAGAAAAAATATAAGCCTTTACCATTTAATTCCCACTTTAGCTTTTCTTGATACCCTATATTAATCAAGAATGCATAACCTCCATTCTTTTATGGCAAGTCCCATGAAAATTTGACAGCTCCAATGGAATCTTTAAATGGGATATATACCTAATTGATGTCCCTTTCATTGACATCGCAAATATTTGGAGGAGCTTAAACTATTTTTTTTCTTTTTTTTATATATTTTTTTCTCAATTTTTTCCTCAATTAAATTTACATTTAGGGTTAAAATGTATTTATATTCAGGTTTACCTTCAAGAGATAATTTGTGAAAATAGTTCCGATTTTCGATTTATCCGAAATATTTTGATCGAAATTCAGATTCCAATTTCCGCTCCGAAGAGTTTCTTATTTAATTTAACACAATCAATTAAAAAAATGTTTATTTATTGCTCTCCGGTTTTAAATTTTCCTCACTTGTGTTTCATTACATTTTATTGAAGTTTAATTTGAGCTGACGTGCATATCATTTTATGTGTACATTTTGGCTAAGGAGAATTCTGGGATTACTACCCCAAATTTCAAAAGGAAAATTTGTAAATTTGGTCCTAAATGTTGGTATGTTTAGAAATTTAGTCCTATAAGTTGTCCTGTTTTAAATTTACATGCAATGATTATACAAAATTAGTATTGTTGGTCTTATTTCACTCAAATTTTGAAATGTTAGATGTCATTTATGATGTAGCTAACAAACTCACTGAAATTTAGTTAATAAATGTGTCATCTCACACAATCAAAGTCCTACCAAGGTTACGTTGGATGTCAAATTTATAATTTTTCAAGCCTCCATATAAGTAAAATGGGTCAAGTTTATGTGTCGCGTCATAAAATTAAAAATCATGCAGAATAGGACTAAAAATACTATTTTGTAAAGTTATTGCGTGTTAACTTGAAATATGACAAGTTAGGGGACTAAATTCCAAAACAGACCAACATTGATTTAATTTGTGAAATGGTGCAGGTCAAGATGGTGGTAAAAGAATGGGGATCAACTTCGACAGAGTAAAGTGAGTGTGTTTGTTCCAGTTCTAATTTTCGGTTGCTCGATTTTTTAAAAGTTATTTCGACTCTTTAACGATGTGTATTCTGAACTTTTCGGTTTATCTCTTCTTTGATATTTTCGTACCCTACCAACTTTTTTTCCGGTTGCATCTCTTTAGTTACACACTTAGCTTTCCATTAGTGAATGAACTGGAACCTTCATTGATCTGATTAATAACGCGTATCTGTGGTCGTATTCAATATACGTACGTGCATCTCGTCGTTCTCAATTACAAGTCCATCGTCTACATTGTTCGTCCCGAACTAACATCAGCGAGCACTAGTAAGCTAAATTCATATCTCTTAAAACGGTTCTATTGCATGCTGACCACTCCTGTAAATCCTGTAACGAACTTATTCGAAATCACAATCTGCAATAACAAATACTTATTCCTTCTTTCTGTTTTTTTATTATTATTATGTAATGTTCTGATGGAGGCAATGAAAAGGTATTGGCTTTCTGTGGGGGCACAATCGTCAGATCCAGTCGAGCGGCTTCTGTTCAGAGCGAGGATGTTACCGCCGAAAAGGGGGTCCACGTGACACGAGCATTGTTGATCCAATGAGTGGACGCGTTAATGGCACATGGAAAACAAGAAACTGTTGAATCGAAAGAGAGTTCAGCTTCTTCATAACGCGCCTTCGTTTTTCCGCTCTGGGGTTTGTGTCCTATTACATGTTTTGTTGCTATTTTTTAATGTCCTAATATAAATTACCATATCCTTAAAAAATTTAAAGCTTTATTGCAGCTTCAACTTGTGTTTGGTTACCATGATTGTTACCAAAATTGTTTTATCGATGACGGATGAACAGGTTCACTTGTAAAGACGTACTACTCGTATCCAGTGGATAAAAGATAGCCCATGTTCAGATTCAACACAGTTCGTCCGTAAAACATAATTTGCCTTCAGAAGTAGAGTGGCTTTCCACAAATCAAACCCCAAACTACAACTGACAAATCATAATAAACTACAACTGGTTATATAAAAATCAGATGCTCAATCTTTAAATTAACTGTAATATACTTTTAAATACTGTAAAATGCAGTTGCAAAACAAAACAAAACAAAAACACCAACAACATAAACAATTAATACCAAAATCGAGTCTTTATAATAGATAGCAACACAGCCGTATATTCGACTGTCAATCGAAACAAAAACAGAGTCTTCAACGATAGAATATTCAAACACAAACAAAATAATATCAAAATATTACTGACCGCTAACGAATGGCAAAGCCAATCATTTTATTCAAAGCAGTAAAAAATAAAAATAAACGAACGATGCTACTCCTTTTCTTCTTCTTCAGAATCCTCTTCTCCAAAACACTTGAGAGTTGACCTAGGAGATCCACAGAAAGCAGCCCTAGCAAACTTATGGTAGACAATCGACCCATCCATTCCCAGCTCCTTAATGCTCCTCTCTTCATGAGTGTATCCTTTCACATCCAGCGCTTGAATGTGCTGGAACATCTTCGCACCTAGTTGTGCGTGCACAGACACAGAAAACTCGCTCGGCTCAAAACAGTACAGAACCCTATCAATCAGCTCACCAAGATTCACATGCTTGAAATCATATCCAGCCGCCTCAAAGCTAGCGTAGCTAAAACCATCTTCAGGGGTGATGTGGATAGTCGAGATCGCGGCTCCTTCAATTGAGTTCATCGAATAGCCACACGGCTCGAAATCAAAGTCGCAGATGTCTGATTCTGGGAGAATGTCTCTTATGCCAGAAACCTCAGTCATCAAAGCAGCAGAGCTGGATTGTTTCTTGAAGAAAACAGAAGCCTTTTCCCTGTCAAGGCCAGTCATGCACATCTCCAGTGTGTAAACGGGGTTCTCAGCTTCGACCGATGCAGCGCATGCAGAGTAGATATGCCACTTCTGCTCTTTGTCGGAACCTCCCATAACGTAAGCCTTGCTGCCTGAACCAAGCTTGCCGAAATAGCCATCAAGAACAGCAACTTCTTCGGAGAAGTTGCGGTGAGGGTACGACTGGGCTCCAGGGAAGATGAAGCTTCCACGGGTGTACCTCACGGTTTGGACCGAAAGAGAGAGGGACTTGGCCAGGTTCAGAATGGGTGGGATCGAAAGAAGCAATTTTGTTGTACCGCAAGTTTTGATGATAATCTTGTAGGGGTACACAAAGAGGCTGGACTCGGAGAGGACGTACGAGTCAATGTGTTCGTTAGACAACGAAGAAACTATGGTGCATTCAGCGGGTCCCAAGATTTCGTCAATCTGAGATTTGGAAAGGGATTGGAGTCCCTTTCCTTCGGGGTCAGCAAAGATGCTTGGCTCGAAAAAGGATATTTCGAGCCTTTTCTCAAAACCTTCAAAACCGATTGGGGAAGCAGACAGAGCCATTTCTAAGAATCTTACAGAGACGGAGAGTAGACAAGAAGGTTGTAGGAGAAGGAAGAAAAGGAGTGCAGGTAAGACAAAAAATAAAAACTAATCCTAGAAAGCAGTAAAAGATCACGCCCGAAGACGTGATAGGGGGCAGAAGTATAAAGGGGTATCAGGATGGCTTGCGAGCGCACTGCAAAAGGAAGAGAAGAATTTGAAGCATTAGCAATTTGCGAATGGATAAAAGTACAAAAATCAAGAAAGTTGGCCATAATTTGGAGGTTAAGACTTACGTTGGAGTAAGCAGCAGATCTGAACTTCTTGATGCCACCGTTTGGTCGAATGTCTTCAATGCAGTATCCAAGGGGAGCTTCGTAACATAAGGAACTACTACTGGACTTCTTTTTTCCACCTTTAGACTCCATTAGTACATCAATGTTAACTGCATGATATAACCAGATAAAGTCAGATAGTGAAGCTTTAAGCATGAGATCGATGGCATAACAGAGCAAACAAGTAAAACGGCAAAAATAGGGTCCAATTCTTTGTCAACGACATGAAAGACACGCATTGTGCACAACACAGGGTACAAAATAAAGAGCTATGAACTTCATTGAAATTCAAAAATCTACATTTAGTTATTCTAAACATAGAGCAGACTTTTATTTCAACAAAAACAAATCTCATCTGAAACACGAAAATAAGACGCATAATTATATTCATTAATCAATGGGAGAAAAGGGACCATCTAGAGTCAAGACAGGTTCAAAATGATGAAAATAATTTGTTTCCGCAAAAAAAAAATCAAGTCGAAAATCAATTAATACAAAAGATATAAAGGCATGAATATCCATCTCTCTGGATATAATTTCAAAAAACAAGCAATTGTTAAAAGGAAACTGCTTCATCAACATTTCAAAACTCTAGATCTGAAAAAGATTTTTCATTAAACTAGATCCGAATTTTTTTTAAAGATGCTTGAATACAATAATGCAAATATTAATAACCTATGCAAAAAATTGAGAACAAAAATCGAATCCACACAATTTAGCGATTAAATATCGAAAAAATAAAACAAGAGATGATGAATACAGATCGTTTCCTTCACGCAATAAACCAACATTACAAAAATATTCAACAAACACGCACAGAATCGATATATTTCAACGGCGCAGAAATTTCAAATCACAGATTTTGATGTATATAAACACACATTAATATTCAACATCAGATCTCAAACAATTCGAATGATAATAATAAATAAAAATCAAAAATAAAAAAAACTTACAAATATTATGATTTAATTTTGTGCGCAATCCCCTTGAAACCACAAATTCACGTTCTATAATTTCTGCAAAAAGAAAAACGATACACAAACAACGATTCAGAACATTGAAACAACTCAGCGATATAATTCTATTAATTTTGCTAATTAAAAAAATTACTCACAATTAAGCAATTTGGGTAGCGGCGGCCGATGAGGAATATTTAACCTAGAAATATTTCCCTTTTTCCGCTGCGAGATTGAGTAATTTTCGTGATTGATTCGTTGAGGCGAGAGGTTTATTTATACACGTAGGGAAACAGTCATTGCCACTCGTTTGTTCCGTTATTACGGTCTTACCCTTCGTGATTTTGTTCTATTATTGACTAGGGGAGGCTTTTATAATATTTTGCTAATTATTATATATCAAATTTCATTTAAACCTTTTCTTTTTTTAACTAAAATTCCGTAAAATCATTGGGTAAACTTCGTTTTCGTTTTTGTGCAACCTTTGTCGATTATATTACAAATGCAAATAAACAAATGTAATTTCAAATTGGTCACACCAATTTATTGTTACATGGTGGAATGATTATTAGAAGATTACATTATATATGTAATTTATTTTCTCAACTAGAATTTAAATTAGGGTTAGTCAACAAGATTTATATATATATTTTATGAAAGGAAAAAAGTAGATTTACCCCCACAATATCAAATCTCCTAATTAATTTTCTTTTTAAACAAAGACAATAGATCCAAACTTTTTGTAACCTAATTGCTACTTTTAATTTTTAACCAAATCATGCCTACTTTGTTTTTATATATAATATTATGAGTGAACAAACAGTTAATCGTATAGATGTATTGAGTAAATCTATATCCTGTATAATAATTTAAAAACTATACAAGAGACGTAAATTACATTAGATTGATCATATGTGACAAATTCGGTCTAATGACGTTAGTAAAGGAATTCAAATTTGTATCAATTAATACAGCCAGTACTTTCGATTATATGTGGTGGCAAAAGTTTGTGATACGTTTTAATTAATTAATTGTCCAATTGTATCCCTATTTTGAATGGAAGGTTTGGAGGGTAAGATTGGGATATGAAATAGTGGGTACATGGTAGAAAAATGATTTGGAACTTTTCATTTAATAATTATGTCTATCATTCAAAAAATACCACTAATGATTGGTAATATTATATGCCTTCTTATCCTCAACCCCACTACCGATTTTGTTGGCCAGCTTTTAAATCCTTTCATTTTCTTTTTCTTTTTTCTTTTTTTCTTTTTTTCTTTTCCTCCATTCTAATTAATTATTGGTACTTGGTCAATATGGACCACACAATCTGTCTGTACCACAAGTAATTTTTTATATGTGTGGCTGTAGTAATCTTGGAATCGTACGGCCGAGAAAAATAACTCTTATTGTTATTACTATATTATTATTATTATTAGGAAATTACATCTACGCCCCTCAAGTATGCTAGAATAATTTTAAGATCCATATGGTAACAGTAATTACAGTGACAGACATTGTTACAAATCCTAACGGACTAACGCATTGATAAGTTATTCATTTAGGTAATTACAATTATCTCCATCAACTATGAATTTTCTAACACGTCTATCCTTACGTTGTCAAATTTAGTAAAATCTTCTAAATTATATGAAAGATTCTCAAGTTTGTACCCGTTTTATCCCATTCGAGCTCCACATTTTGAAACAAGATAATCATAAGATATGTTTTCTGGCTTCTATATATCAGATTGTGATGCATCAGAAACTACATTTTTGCACAAAAACAACTAAAAACTAGAATACATTGTACGAAATCTAAAAGAATATGTTCAATTTAACACCATGAGAGTAAATATATAAGAAAATTCAAAGTTAAATGATAATTATAATTATTAAAATACGAGAGAATTTTTCATAATTTAACGTGGTCGTAATTTAGCCAATAAATAATAGAAGACAAAAAAAACGGAAGATTTGTGTTTGCACTTCTTTGCAAACCAAGTAGCAGCAGAAAGGTGGGCCCCCAGAAAATAGCTTATCTGATTCAGATTTCAGAGACGTGTATGTGAGCTGTATTTTGTGGTTCATATATGAAAAGACAAAAATGCCCTCTCTGTAAAATTTATCTTCTTCGACCTTGTCTGGATTTAGTCATTTTCGTAGGACAAGAAGATTCTTCAATTGATTCCCATTGTCATTGTCTAGATTATGTTTTCAAACATTACTTTCCGTGACTGATTTTTATTTATTTATTTATTGCAGCATTATTGGCCCCTTTTTTAAGGTTTTAAGCTTTCTTTTTTTGACTTTAATTTCAATTAATTAATTAGGTGTTTTCTTGTCACTTTGTACTTTACTTTGTAGGAGCTTTCCTAGTAGTTGCCGTGTAATCAATCGGTAATGGAATTGTGTGTGTGTAGATGAGTGTTATGATTTATTATCAATTCAAAATAAGAAACCTCTTCATTTTATTTTATTTTTCTTTTCTTGGTTGAGTTCCATTGATTTGGATTTGAATTTATTTATTTTAATTGCCCACCATATGTTATATTTCTTTTATAGATATTACACCTAATCACGATTCATGTGTTACTACTATATGATACGTTTCCGAATGTTATAGTGTTGAGTATTGACGATATTCAGTAAAAGCGATGGGATCATTATGGTATTATTGGGCCGCGCTCTCCATACCCAGAGTTATTAGGCCCAATCCCAAGTGAACGACATAAATCAAGCTCATCAAACTCAGGCCTAATGAACGGCGAGCATCAAGATGGACTGGATTGATGCTATAAGAATTTGTGGTAAAGAAGATCGTCAAACACACAATAGGTCGAGTAGGAAGATGAATAATTAGTGGTAGGTGGCAAGCTCGGAGGCAGCTGTTAGAGGAGAACTTTGTATGACTTCCATACATAATAGTAAAATATGCAAACTACGATCGGTGATTAATCAAACAGAATAAATCTCGGGCGAAAAGAGAGAATTTAAATTAAGAAATAACCATATGTAGTTCTCTATACAAACGAATGTGTAAAAACTCTATTGGGAATACAGTTTGAACGATCAATAAACATTATACTCTCTTTCAAGTTCTCTCTTTATATTGATTTACTTTTCAATAAGTTGAATTCATCTTCGTCGGGACTACAAGACGCTAGCTGAACTTTTCTGGGCGGCTAAGGGAGTAGAGTTTTAAAGGAGGTCTTGAAAGTGCAGATCAAACACCACCAAAATTTTATTAAAACTGCTCCGAAACTTTTTTGAGTGGTATTTACAGAAAAATAATACAAAATATATAGATATTTATAGCATTTAAAATAATATACATTAAAACATACATAGTATGTCAAAAATATTTCCATTAAGACTCATTGGGTATGTTTGTTTCTATTTCCAAAATCAGTTTCCAGTTTTATACTATTCACAAAACTGAGATTATGTTTGTTGGATAATTTTATCCAGAAATCCCATTTTTTCTTCTCAAATTTCTATTGGAATACACTATTCATACTTTTTTCAATTTTCAAACATACTAAACCCTACTAACTAACCTATATATTTA